ATTACATAAGTGCAAAACTTGGAATATCAACAAGTGTACAACTTTGCTTCCGCCGTTTTTACTACACGACTTCTTTACAATAACGGCGGAAGCAAAGTTGTATGTTTTCAAATACCATTTTAAAGTATACCGAGTTGCTGTTAATATATTTTTACTTTTTACCCCTAGAATGCCTACAATTGCTGGATAGCCGCCTGCCTGTACATCCTGACCCTGGTCATATCTGGTCAGCAGTTCTACGCCAATAGTCGTTCATCTGTAAATTAAAACATAAAATCAACTCAACTGCAATTGGACACAAATTAAATTAAATTAAAATTAATATAAATTGTATATTATCGTGACATTGATTTTGGAAAGAAAATGCATCCACCATATCAAGAATCATATAAATAAATTATATATATAAATTTCATTATGGAGTCGATTGAAAGGATTTATAATTGCAAACTTAATTAATGGAACAGTGCAAAAGTCATTCCCTGTTATAATTTGTAAATATTTAAAATTAAGTTATTAGATTGAATGGAAGTATTATGATTTAAGTTTTAATTTGTCTTCTCAATCAATAGTTAATATAAATATATATATATATATATATATATATATATATATATATATATGTATATATAAATTCGTCTTATATATATACTCATGTGTATATATTGTTTTATTGTTATATATTGCAAAAAATGTAGTATTAAACTTCATTAATTGAACAGAATGTGTTATTGTTTATTTTTCAGTGAATTTCCCAAAGATGTTTTTGCCAGCAAAAACTATTTACTAATTTTAAGTGTTCTTCTAGAGGTTTCAAGTCATTCTGAATCGTTTGGCACAAGGATTGGAAAAATTATTAGATGTCTTATTATCCAAGGGAGTATATATGTTTATAAATTATTAATTTGTTATGATATATTACTTGTGTTTCTAAAAGGTTTTACACCTCAATTATTTACACAATAAATGTTTTTGTTTGAGTATTTTTTGCAATGATATATGGTATATAACATTTATCACAATATAATAATGTTTTTGTGAAAATCGTATTCTAATCGTCGAGACCTTTTAAACGATACCCCACATGCCATATGAAATAATCTGAAATTTTTGAAGTAAAACTTCTTTAAGCTCGTTTACTACAAATTCATTAAAAGTGTATATTTTATGGACAAACCACATAGTTAATATCGGTATTCGAATTCTATTCAGAAAGACCTTTCAAACGATACCCAACATGCCATAAAAAATACAATCAGAAATTTTTGAAGTAAAACTTCTTCAGACATCTCAGCTACAAATTCGTATAAAAAGAATTTCAATTCTAATTGCTTGTTAATTGCCATCTTGCAAAAAATATTTTTTTTTTATAATAGAGACATAAAACTTCTTGTAAAACTAGGTGATTTGTTAAATAAAATGAATTTTTTTTTACTAATACTATTTACCCACTAAGCCAAAATACGTAATATTTATGTAATTTTTACGCAAAAAAATGACATACTTATGTCATTTTTACGTAAGATTAATGTAAGATATGTGTCATAATTTCGCCTATTTTAAGTAATGTGGATTACGTAATATGGGATTACGAAAATATTTCATAATAATTACGTAATTTTTGAAAAAAAAATGACGTGGAGGGGCCCTTTTTTACACACATACATATATACACACAGCATATCTGTATATATGAACACACACATACACACATATGTGTATATATGAACACACACATTCATGAACATAGAAATGAGTATGCACACACACGCATACATATAAACACACACACACACACACACACACACACACATATATATATATATATATATATATATATATACACTATCTGAAAAATGAACGAAAAAGCACATTTATATGGCATGTTTATTTTTTCGGCATATATACACAATTTAAACATTAGCAAATCCATAAAGTAATAAATAATAATTCACAATTTTTATAAAATAATGTAATTACATATAACATATTGATCAACATTTTCATGGCAAATGGAAAAATATACAATATGATAAATGATAAGAGAAATGCAATTTAAAATTAAACTCGAAATAAAAATCATCGAAGTATCCTTACAAAGTCTTCATAAGTTCTTTCACTAACTATTTCATGGAAAATATTATGTAATTAGGAACTGTCATATCTTCTGTTAAAACTAAATGTGGTATAAGTCTATGATGTCTTCTCTACAAAAGCATTCTCGATATCTATTTCATGGCCCATTTGTGATGAAAAAATGCATCTCGGATATAAATTATTAGCTTTCGATTTTCACCTGAAATATAAAACATGGTAATAATTTCTATTTAACTTTTGATACATATATTTTTTATATACTTACACAAAGCAAATGGTTTTCAAAAGGCCAAGTGATTCTGTTATATATAATTTGTATTATATATAACAATATATATATAATATAACTGAATTTATATTAACAATAAAATAGTATTTAGAATATGAATACCGTTACATTTGAAACAAAATTCTTTATATATCTAATTATTATTAGAAAAAAAATTAATAACACACACGATTAATTTTTAGGTTAATGGAGCGTTTTAGAGTAAAGATTTAAGTAATTCATGTAATTTAAGAGGCTTTAGAATATATTTATAATAAACATATATCTTCACATATTTAATATCACTTTCACATTTAATTAGCAAATTAAAAATATTGATAAGACACTACAAAACACAAAACTTAATTTAAAACGCATGGCGAGTCGTACTCCCATAATCCTTGCCTAGTAGCCGCTAGTAGCCGGCGGCTCGGCACGGCAGCCTTCTTGCAGACATAACGGTACTTATGTCACTTAGCACCGTTCATTGGTTGACAGCTTCGTTCATGAAACGAAATGTTCCGAAAATTCGCGAGCCATTTTTATTTCGTCTCTATGCAGTTAATGCAGTACGATTACTTTGAAAAAAAGTTTAGAATTTTCAAAATATTTTTTTTTTAAAAAGTCTTTTTTTCAAAAAAGGTACTTTTTTGTCAAAATTTTATAGTTTCTCAAAAATCTAATTTTTTTAAAGTAATTTTTTTTCAAAAATGTTAATCTTTTTAAAACAAAATATTATTAGTACGGGAAGTTCCAACAATTTGCCTAGTTTATGTAATATATATGAAATAAAATCTTCATTTATCTTACGTAATATATTTTTCAGGAAAATTACGTAATATTTATGTAATTCTTTCGTAATATCTAATTACGTAATGTAGATTACTTATTTCTTACATAAAAATTACGTAATATTACGTAACTGGTTTAGTGGGTACTAATTTTGTGTTCTTGAGGTTTCAAGTCATTCTGAATCATTTGACACAAGGATTGGAAAAATTATTAAGCGTAACCAAGGAAGTATATATTTATATATATATATATATATATATATATATATATATATATATATTATATATTAGATTTTGCCTAAAACGTCATTTAAAGAAAAAGTTACTCTACTGACGAGCAAAGTTCAGAAAAAAATAACTCTCTTGACGAGAACAAATACTAAAACTTCATTCGTAAAAAGAGTATTTTTGTGAAAATCGTTTTCCACTTGTCGAGACCTTTCAAATGATACCCCACATGCAAAAAAATACATCTTTATGTTATTGAAGTAAAACTTTTTTAAGCTCGTTTACTATTAATTCATAAAAAATGTATATTTTGTGCATAGTTTACGTAGTTAATATTAATAGTCTACAAAATTTATTTTGTGTAGCTATAAAAGTTTTACACTTCAAAAAAAATATGTATTAACATTCTAATAATTTTTGCAATACAATTTGCAGTTTTTATTACAATTTAATGCTTTTCTTCGTTTTCTACTCCTCGAGACCTTTTAAACGATACCCAACATGCCATAAAAAATACAATCTAAAATTTTAGAAGTAAAACTTCTTTAGGCATCTCAGCTACAAACTCGTAAAAAGTGTACCTGAATCTCAATTCTAATTGATTAAGTTAATTACCATATTGCAAACATTTTTAGAATCTTTTTTATGTATAATTTAGGCATAAAACTTTTCAAGCAAAACTAGGTGATTTGTTAAAAAAATAAACTTTTTTTTTACAAATGAACTTTTAGTATTTGCTCGTCAGTAGAATTATTTTTTTCTAAAATTTGCTCGTCAACAGAATCTTTTTGCATTTGAATGACATTCTAGACAAATACTTCAAATCCATGAAATATACTTTTTGTTTGAAGTTGCAGCAAAGGAACTTAAAGAAGTTTTACTTCAAAATTTTTATTTCCAATATTATAATTACATTTTTATATTTGCATGAAGTAGTAGAGAATGTGTTTAAAAAAGTTTTACTTGAAAAAAATTAATTACGTTTTTTTTGCCTTAAGGTAAAAAGTCATTTGCAACTAACTTCAATTCCTTTATAATCTAATTAAGTTTTCTTTAAAATCCTAGTCCGCCACTACTCTTGCACGTGGTAAAATCGTATTATATACGTGGAGAGCTTTTAAATGATACCCCATACGCCATAAAAATTAATTTGACATTTTTGAAGTAAAACTTCTTTAAGCACGTTTGCTACAAATTAGCAAAAAGTGTATATTTTGTGTACAAACCACATAGTTTATCTCAGTATTCGGATTCTATTCAAATATACCTTTCAAACGATACCCAACATGCCATAAAAATACTATCTAAAATTTTTGAAGTAAAACTTCTTTAAGCTCGTTTACTACAAATTAATAAAAAGTGTATATTTGTGGAGAAACCACATGATTAATATCAGTATTCGATTTCTATTCAAAAATCACTCTAAAACAATACCCCACATGCTATAAAAAATACTATCTGAAATTTTTGAAGTAAAACTTCTTTAGACTCTTTTGATACAAGTTCGTAAAAAGTATACATTTTGTGCACAAACCACATAGTTAATTTCAGTATTCGGAATGTATTCAAGAAGACCTTTCAAACTTATATAATATGCCATAAAAAATACAATGTAATACTTTTGAAGTAAACCTTCTTTAGACTCCTCAACTACAAATTTGTGAAAAGTGTATATTTTGTGCACAAACCATACAGTTAATTTCAGTATTTGGATTCTAATTGAAAAGACCTTTCAAATGATACCCAACATGCCGTATAAAATACTATTTACAATTTTTGAAGTAAACCTTCTTTAGACTTCTCAGTTATAAATTCGCAAAAAGCGTTGTTAATATCAGTGTTTGAATTATATTTAAAAATACCTTCCAAACGATACCCAAAATGCCATATAAAATATTAACTAAAACTTTTGAAGTAAAACTTCCTTAAACATCTCAACTACAAATTCATTACAAGTGTATATTTTGTGGACAAACCATACAGTTAATATCAGTATTCAAATTCTATTTAAAAAGACCTTACAAACGATACCCAACATGCCATATAAAATACAATCTAAAAATTTTGAAGTAAAACTTCTTTAGACTTCTCAACTGCAAATTCGTACAAGGTGTATATTTTGTGGACAAATCAT